AGGTGGTATTAAAGGAGCATAACTGCGTGTATATTACAATGATAAGCTAGCGAAAGTTAATTTTATTCAAGTTTACACAGGAACCGAGAATACGCTCCAAAAATTTCAGCTACAACTTTGAGACTTCCGGAAAGACACGCATATCTCTGGACAACAGGTAGATACATACAAATATGCATGCACATTTCTCGATTTGTCCAAAAATGCTGAAACGAGGCACATCCAGGGTGAAAACCGCGATAAATCAAAATACCAAACGCGGTCTGTGAGCAGCAGTCTGAAATTTTTAAGATGTGAATGATATGAAAGAATTCAAGATATTCACTGAATGTAACTGAGATTCCAGATGTTGATATGGGTTTGTGTAGATAACAAGGGAGAAGAAGAGGAAGAAAGCGGACGCGAAGCCGGAAGTTTCAAATAAAATACCAAAATTTCGGAAGAAAATTTCTTTAGAAATTCACGGCAGCAATTTTCCTATAAACAGTACTTATTTCCAAATTTTGATCAGTCGCAATTTAACATGATTTTTCAGTTGTTCTGCTCAATGTTGCATTAAGTGGCGATCAACGTGCTGGTGTTTTTTTCGTTGGTTTCGTCTCCTAAAGCTTAAGTTTTCAAGCCCTACCCCTCCCGCCTCCTTCTCTCTCAAAAAAGAAAAAAAAAATTGATAGTAAGTGATAATGCTACAAATACCGTTGTTTTTTAAAAAAAGGCTATTTACCGCCGGCTCTAGAAAAACTGAGGAAAGGTTCCCAGTTTTCCCTGCTCGCCTCGATGCGGAATGTTGTGACAAGTAGATATGAAGACGCAAACACTGCCGAACAAAAAAAATGAATTCCTTGATTTTGGAAATGACAGGTCGAGGGGCCAACCACAGAGATGATGGATCGGCAAGACGCTTAAGCACGGTTATTGTGGTTGGAAGGCGAGGGATGGACCGGGCGGTCAGGATGAGGGTGCGATTGTCTCCACAGTCATCGCTCAATTTATTTAGGAGTTCGGGAGACAAGAAAGGCTGTCGTTTTCGATCATCACACGCATTCCTTTCTCTTATAATTCGGCGCCTACCCGTGCTTGTCATCGACCGTTGCCTCCAGTCCTTCTCTATTGTGATCAGCCCTCCTCGTCCCATCCCGGCGCCCATACCCGTGGTGGCAAAAATGAGCAGCAGCAAGTATAATCACCATAAATTAACATCCATTTATATCCACCATTTCTTCCCTGCGGCTTACCCGAGCCGGCCACCGCGACACCCATCGCTGGCGCCTTTGCATCACATCCACCCCAAAAACCCACTTTTTTGGGGTAACATTACTCTTTTCGCACTTATTGGCCGTCTTTTTTAAATACCGTTCCGCACCATAAGTATTAAGTCTGGAGCGCACACTGGAGCAGAAAGTATTGCTAACCACCAATTACCTGAAGCTATGTGACCTTTGACCCTTTTGGTGTTTGAGATATAATTAATTAATTAGTGATGACATAGCGGTGAATCACAATAGAGAATAGAGATTACTTGACTAGAACGTCTTCAGTAATGCCAGTGCGACTTTTTAGGAAAAAAAATTGACGATTTAAATCCCAAGCACAGTGCCTAATGATCGTTGTGCTTTGTAAAAACTGCTACATGAATGCGAAAATGGCAGAAATATTGCGAAAGGTGCGAGGAAATGAATAAATATGCAAAAAGTCTTCCTGCATGCGTCTTATTGCAGTCTGTGAATCCTAGGATTTCATCTTTTACCGCAAACATTTGCTGTTTGTAGGAAGGGTATTGAAACAGCACTTGGCTGAGAACAGCGGAAGAGGTAAGTCTTCTTAACCTCTTTATGTTGTATTCGAACATCCTCACTCAGTATGTGATGTCTTGCGTACCTGTGGCCCTAATGTATGCCCAGTCCGTGTGAGCGGTCATTTACTTTCTCGAGAGTACTGCTCAGTAACAGACACAGAGCAATGTAATACATGATATGAAAGATTCTATGATCAATCGATGGTTTGCTTTCTCGGAGCTTCCCATAATGAATAATCAGTTATTTGGTGGAAAGCAAGCAGAAAGCGGAGCATAAATTTTTTTTTATAATTGGCGCCTGTCTCGGTGAGATGCAGGAACAAGCATGCAATGTGCATATTTATATTTTTGCTTGCTTTCCAATGATGCCGAAACCACAACATAATATCACTACAATACCACCATCATCCTCATCTTCATCACTACTAGCACCACCACCAACTGCCATCACTTTCATTACAATACTACTAACATCATCATCATCATTTGTTATCACAGTAACATTTTTAATAGATCATTCTCATTATTAGTAAGTACTAAATTATCACCAGCCTCATCTTCATTAGCGTCATATTCTACACGTTAATAGTTTTACTTTGGCACTTTATTAATTTGTTAATTCTTTATTTACGCAGCTGGAACTTTTCCAGCTGCTTTGATCAAAATTACATAGTCTTGTGGTCAGCCTGCTAGAACACTAGATACATACAAGCCAGGGATTTCGCGTTTCGACGTCGCGCATTACCAGCTTACGACCAGCGTTAGTTCTACGTGTGCGTTGTCTTCACAGGCCTGGATTACTGCTGTGCAAGGCCGCAAAGGAGGAGAATGAGGTAACTTGCGTCTTACACCAGTGTCTAGAAGATATACTGCCTTGCCTACCACCCTGTACCAGCTCCTTGGCTTCATACTATTGGCAGTCCACTCGGGTTCTCGCGGAGAAGCGGCAGCGATGGTTACGATGGATGACGACGAAAATTCCAAAATTACTGGATTCTCGAATAAACAGCAGTTATATTCTAACATATCTTCAATCTCGACGTCCGGGCGCCAATCTTCAGGCACTTAGTCGGGATTTTAGCCGGAACTCGGAGGGTCAGTCCGATCTTCGCACCTGGCCAGGCACTAGCATCACTGCCCAGTGGTCAGCCTGGTTGTCCAGACGTCCGTTTTATTTCCTGAAAGGTTCAGTAGCTCAGTGATTTTTTACGTTACTATCTCCGTTATTCAACTACCACTGCGATGAATTTATTTTACAATTTCACCATCTTTACCAACACGAAGGATCATTTCTGTCATCGCCATTAACATCAACAAATACGTTGTCATCTTTAACTATTTCTCGTCGGCATGTCATATTCTGGAAAAAAAAGCAATTTTCAACACTTTATTTACGGAAAAATTGGGTCAAAAATACAAATTCAACATTTAGCTAATTTACTTCTTCAACAATCATTTTAAATGTATGCAAATTAAAATGGATGCATGGGTGGGCGGGAGAAGGCCCGGAAGGAGAGGAAGAGGGCGAGGTAACACTACGAGGGGTAGTTTAGTAAATCACAAAATACTCATCTCGGATCGACACACTTTCATATTAAATTGTACATAATAATCCTAGTTCACTCTTTTTTTT